CTCTGATGTGGTCCAAGAAAGGGAAGTTATCTGTGTTATCGTTACTTGTCTCCTGGCCACAGTGAGGAGACGAGTGGGTGGGTGGGTGGTGGGTCTCCCTCACCTGGTGGGTGGGTCAGGTGGATCTCCACAGTGGGTGGGTTGGCAGGTATGTAACGTTCTCTCTCTTTTTTTACACATGGTTGTAGTACAAGGTTAGGCTAAGGATTCCTAAATTTATTTACAAACTAAGAGCTGTTACCTGCATCAGCACATTTGAAAGCCTTGTTATTGTTACGAAACATTCATTCATTCTCTCTCTCTCTCTCTCTCTCTCTCTCTCTCTCTCTCTCTCTCTCTCTCTCTCTCTCTCTCTCTCTCTCTCTCTCTCTCTCTCTCTCTCTCTCTCTCTCTCTCTCTCTCTCCCTCTCTCTCCCTGAGTGCTCGTGGCTTAGTAGTGTCCTCAGCTCACACACTTAGAGGTCTAGGACTGATCCCCGGCACTGGTGAAGTTAGTCATGTACCTGCTGTCCCCTGTTCATCTAGCAGTAAGTAGGTACATGGGTGTTAGTCGACTGGTGTGGGTGGCATCCTGGGGGACAGGATTAATCTACGTTGTGAAAAATGCTCTGCATAACCAGGGACTTTCTATATAGTATGTCACTGATGTCAACTATGGTCTGTATAAGTTATATCATATACTTGTAGAAATAAAGATTTATTATTATTATTATTATTAATTATTTTTATTTTTTTATTATTATTTATTATTATTTGCATGCACATTCATGGACACAATTTGAAGAGAAGGTGGAATGAGGTCAAAAAAAAAAAAAGGCAGAAACAAGTAATGCCGGTAAAAGTAGTTTAAGAGGCTGGAACAGGAGCTGACACTCAACCCTCACAACCAGAAAAAAGTGCCTCTCCCTCCCTCACACACACACACACACACACACACACACACACACACACACACACACACACACACACACACACACACACACACACACACACACACACACAAGCGGTCAGGTGAGAGATGGGGAAGCAGTTGGTACTCGACCCCTGCAGCCACAGTTAGGTTAACACAGACACACGCGAGGCCTGGCTCAACCTCCGGCTGTCCTAATGAGGTAATTCCGCACATTTCGCTGTCGTTTGTCGCACCTCACTTAACACTGCGAGGAACCTGAGAGAGAGAGAGAGAGAGAGAGGAGAGAGAGGGGGGAGGAGGGAGGGATGGATGGAGAGAGTGTATTCACCTATATGTGGTTGTAAGGGTTGAATCTCAGCTCCTAGCCCCTGCCGCTTCACTGGTCCCTACTAGGTTCACTCCTACCTTCGAGAACCTTATCACACCTATTCTTTAAGCTATATATGGATCCTGTCTTTACCACTTGGTTCTCCAGGTCGTTGTACTTCCTGACTAAGGGTGAAGAAATACTTCTTAACGTCCCTGTGAGACATTGTATTTTCAACAAACTTGCGCCCACATGTTCCTGTTTCCCGCATCTCGATCAATCTGTCTCTATTCACCCTATCAATTCCTCTCAGTATTTTGTAGGTTGTTATATCACCCTTAGGCCTTGTGTCCTCCAGTATTATCAGGTTCCTTAACCTCTCCTCATAAGACATACCCCTTAGCTCAGAAAATAGTCTTGTTTCAAGTAAGTTTAATTAGGTACAGATATACATAAATCAATTATCATGTAGAGCAACATACGTATAGATTATCTAGGATAACCCAAGAAAGTCACAACCAATTAACCTGACTGTACTAATCCTATAGAAATAAATAAAAAAAAAGAAATAGAAAATACTTAGTACCTGGACCAGATTCATGTAATTCCTTCTTAATAAAAAAAAATGCAAAGTACCACTAGCATGAGCTTTCAGTATTTTTTAGGAAAAAGAGCTTAGATGTAGGTGAAATATCAGAGACTCTAAGGAGTTGGTTTAGAAAGACACGTAAGCAAACACTATGACATATTTATTAGAAAACGTTTCGGTCCTGGGACCTTGATCAAGGTCCCAGGACCGAAACGTTTTCTAATAAATATGTCAGTGTTTGCTTACGTGTCTTTCTAAACCAACTTGTCGGTATTTATTACCAAGGTTTATACCACTCTAAGGAGTGCATGAGAGAGGCAGTAGAGCGCTAGCCAAAAATTACAGACCAGTAACTCATCCAACATCATAAAAATCTTCGAAAGAGTGATGAGGTGCCAAATTACAAGCTTTGTGGAACAGCAGTCTTCACAACCCAAACCAACACGGTTTTAGAAGACATCACAAACACTGCTGGAACAAGTGTAGAAGTCTTTCAAGAGAAAACTGGGCAAGTATCTTCAGCAGGTGCCAGATCAACCAGGCTGTGATGGATATGTGGGCCGGCGGACCTCCAGCAGCAACAGCCTAATTGACTAGGCTAGCACCAGATGAGCTGGCCCATGGCCGGGCTCCAGGAGTAGAAAAAGTTTCGAAATTCATCAAAGGTACAATGGAAAGATTATGCTTGTCACAATTGCTAAACCGAAATGCTCTTCATACCAATGGGCTTTCTTCATGCACACTTAAAGGTCATCCATTTCTGTACAAACATTGTATCTTGCTGAAATAAAGGTCTTAAAGGTCATCCATTTCTGTACAAACATTGTATCATGCTGAAATAAAGGTCATGATTATTATGGCTGAATTATGGAGGCGTTGGAAGAAAACCAAAATGCCGATGCGATGTACACAGATTTTGCAAAGGGGTTTGACAAATGCTATTACGGAGTAATTACACAAAATAAGGGCCATAGACATAAGGGGAAAGGTAGGCATATGGATTTTCAAGTTTCTAACACACAGAGCACAGAGTAGTAGTAAACAGAGCAAAATCCAGCATCAGCGAGGTAAAAAGCTCAGTTTCCCAAGGCTCTGTCCTGGCACCTCTGCTGTTTTTCATTCTCATAGCAAACTTAGATAAAAACACTCGTCACAGTTTTTTGAGACGGCACTGAAAAATTGCAGAAAGATATAAACAGTGTTTTCCAGTGGGCAGTGGAGAACAACTTGACGTTCAGTGGTGATAAGTTCCAGCTGCTTACGTATGGAAAGAAGGAAGAACTCAAAAGGAGCACTGCATACATATTTCAAGAAAACTATCAAATAGCACGAAAGGAATACGTGAAAGACCTGGGAGTAATTATGTCGGCTGATCTTTTTTGTTCAAAGAACATAACGCAAACGTTACCACGGCCAGGACGATGACGGGGTGGATAATGAGAACTTTCAAAACAAGGAAAATAATACCAGTGGTGACACTTTTCAAATCGCATGTATTCTCGTATTTAGAACATTCAGTTGACAGCCCCGTTCAGGGCAGGAGAAATGTCGGAACTCGAACAAATACTAAGATCATTTACGGTCCACATAGAGGTAATAAAGCATTTAAATTACTGGAAATGTCTTAAATTCATAAATTTGTACTCAGAGCGGAGGAGAGAGAGAGAGAGAGAGAGAGAGAGAGAGAGAGAGAGAGAGAGAGAGAGAGAGATGATAATATATACTTGGAAAGTATTTGAGAGGCTGGTCCCAAACCTACACATTACCATAACACGGTGGAGTGAGAGATATGAGAGGAAGTGAGGAAGTGTGAAATAAACCCAGTTAAAAGCAGGAGCACCGTGGTCATAATACAAGAACATTGTATCAGCATCCGTGAGCCTAGGTTATTCTTACCAGAAGATATCAGAAACAGTGCTGGGACAAGTATAGAAGTCTTCAAGAGGAAACAGGACAAGTATCTTCACCAGGTGCCATATCAACCAGGCTGTAATGGATATGTGAGTCAGCGGACCACTAGCAGCAACAGCCTGGTTGACCAGGCAAGCACCAGACGAGCCTGGCTCTGAGAGCAGAAAAACTCGCGAAACTCATCAGAGGTAGGAGGATGAGTTTATCATGTTGCGATAGTTATTCTGAAAGTAAACTATCATTTTAATGGTGGTATAGAAGACCGACGAGTTGATGAATGTAACACGTGTGCTGCCCCTTAATTTCTTGTTTAACAAACGTTTCGCCTACATGGTTGGCTTCTTCAGTTCAATACAGAGAGAACTAAAGGTGGAGGTATAGCAATGGAGAGGGAAAGATAAACGTGGTCCGTCCATCAGCCTTGAGGTTACCTGGAGGTTATTCCGGGGATCAACGCCCCCGCGGCCCGGTCCATGACCAGGCCTCCCGATGGATCAGGGCCTGATCAACTAGGCTGTTACTGCTGGCCGCACGCAGTCCAACGTACGAGCCACAGCCCGGCTGATCCGGCACTGACTTTAGGTATCTGTCCAGCTCTCTCTTGAAGGCAGCCAGGTAGTTTAAGGGACTGATCACCTCGAAACTGCTTTAAGATTGATGGACTGATCACATTATCTTTACCTCTCCAGTGTTTGTACTGTTTAATTTTGGTCACCTTTGTATTGGACAAAAGAAACCTACTGTGCAGGCGAAACGTTTCTGTAATAAGGTACCAAAGTGTTGCACATTCGTCTTATTCATCAACTGGCGGTAAATATACTATCATCATTACGGTACAATGTAGCTTAATGGCGATACCGACAAAATGTGGGAAAAGATACTTGTGTACAATCCAGACATTTATTAAAAGAATATAACCCAAGTTTTTAAAGGGGTGGACGGGTAGGAAGGCCTTTGTCAGATGACCAAAAGCTCCAGCGACGGGTCATTATATGACTAAGACCCGCGTCAGGAAACACTTGTCCTGTTTCCTGACAAACCTTACCGAACCTAACCTCTTAAAAGAAACGTTTCGCCACGAGCGGGGTATAAAGTTTCCTTTCATAAATGTCCGGAACTGTACACAGGTGTCTTTTCCCTACACATAGCTTAAATATTGGAGAGAGGAGCGTAGACAAAGGTGCAAGTGAAGGTACCTGGGCGTGGAGAGTAGCAGGGTCCCAGCACCAACGCCTGGGACACTGGGTGCTTACCAGATGTGGCCAGAGTTGCCAAGAGTCCATAAGCAGTCGTGGTTGTACGTGGGTGCGTGTCGGACGCTGCTCCCAGCTCCGCCACATCCATGCTACCTAACATTTACTGCTGTCTTCACTCTACTCGCCAGAGTTGTTGTTTTGAAACACCGTGACGAGTGAAGCTACTAGGATTTGTGTTTCAGGGAGGTGACACGAGTGGAATCTCTATTTAAGAAGCATGTGACAAGCGTATATTCATTTTACTAGTGATAGTTGGTGTGCTGTTCGATGTGGTGGTGTTGGTGCTAATACGATGATGATGGTGCTAGTGTAAAGCTGTTGCAGGTGTGTTGATGTCAGCAGCTTGTGAGTTAGATACAAGGCAGACAGCCAGTACGAAGCCTGGTGAACTCATGACATCCAAGGTTAGCAGAAACTCAAGGTCAGGGATTTTCGTGGGCGGTTTTTGCTAGCCGGGGATGCCGGTGTTGCGGGCCCGGAGTCCCCGGGTGGAAGGTGGGAGGTGTTACCCTCGCGTGTGTTGGGCGGCCGTCACGCGCGCCACCCACTGGGGGGTGACCGCCAACACCACTACCCTCCCCCATGATGCCCCTCGCCACCAATGTGCCAGAGCCATCACCTGCAACAGTTGGCCAGGCTACACCTTGGCACGCAAGGCCAACCAGGGGCCGCTGACCAGGCACTTTAATACTGGTGTGTATAACCAACCTCTCCAACACCAGCAACGAGGCCGGTGTCTACGTTACTCGTCTCCAAGCAACAAGCATCGTGACAATTTGAACCAAAACTCGCATACACAAGCAACACAAATATCTGCAGAAAGTGCAAGTGAAGGAGAGAGAGTTTATGTTCGATGGGGTGAGGAGGAACAACAAGTCTTGGGCCAGAATATTATGTCATGCACTCACCTGGATTCTGGCAGTGACGTCCGCAGTAGCAGTGACACGCAGAGCTCCAGTGAAGCTCTCAGTGCTAATGAAACTTTGAGTGCATGTGGTGGCAGCTACAGTGACGATGATGACCTGTGCTCACAACATTGTGGGGATCAGTGTTGCTCTCTAGTATCTTCCGCTAGTGTCATGTCAGCAAGTCAGAGTACCAAGAGTGCTCTTATCGTGCCCAAGGTGGAGACCAGGCAACGAATGCGCGGCACCCTGTGTACTGAGTCATTACTAGAGGGTAAGCGAGTGTGGTGCACCCCGTGTTGGGAGTCAGTAATAAATAAACAGTGCGCGCGGGGCACCCCGTGTTGTGAAAAATACGTCAGGACCCCACTGGTGGAGATGAATGGTACGAATAAGAGACGCATACCCACTAAAAAACATCGTAGTTCAATTGTGGGAATTGAACACGACTTTAACAGTGAGCCTGAACAATATGCTTTTTATAATGAAAGCAAACATAATCCTGTAGCACATAAGAGTGTGTGTAAACAGAGTAAGCGGAGTGAGCAGAGATGTGCAGGAATGTGCAATGGTAGAGGAGGAAATGTGCTAAGAGAGAGCACCTTCACTGTTGCCCGAGGAGAGACGCTTCTCATTCCTGCAGCAGGCCACACCTGGGACACGCATGACACTGCTTCCTGTCCCCAGAGAAGTCCCAACTTCATCCAGCACGATGATTCACTGAGGTCAAATACACCAACTTCTCGCTGCCAGCACGCTGATACTCGCACACTACCTCGACTGGTACCCCCTGCTACCACTGCCGCCCAGGGTACCACTCCTGCTCCTGCTGCTGCTGCTTCTAAGAGCACCACTCTTGCTGCTGCTGTTGCGTCCAAGAGCACCACTCTTGCTGCTGCTGTTGCGTCCAAGAGCACCACTCTTGCTGCTGCTGTCGAGAGTACCACTTCTGCTCCTGCTGCTGCTCTCAAGGGCAATACTGCTGCTGTTACCCGAGACACCACGCCTGCTGCTGCTACCGGAGGCACCCCTGCTGCTGCTGCTACCGGAGGCACCACTGCTGCTGCTGCTACCGGAGGCACCACTGCTGCTGCTGCTGCTACCCGAGGCACCACTCCTGCTGCCCGTGGCACCATCCCTGCTAGCCGGGACACCGCTCCTGCTGCCCAGGGCACCACTCTTGCTGCTGCCCGTGGCACCACTCCTGCTGCCCAGGGCACCCATTCTGCCCGGGGTGTCGGCACTATTACTGCCCAGGGCACTGTCCCTCACCTACCCACTACAGCGCCCTCTGCCTACAGAAAGAAACACTCCCTCACGCCCACCCATCCCTTGTCTAGAGGAAAAACTTACGTACGGCAGGAGGACGGGGTGGGGTTGGCTGAGGGCAAGAATGTAGGTGGTGGGCGGGGTTGCTCAGAACCCAGTCAGTGGACTCACCTATATGTTAATGAGGTGCGTCCTTGACTACTCATTACCATTGCGACCACTCTAACCACTGTCCCGTGGTCTGGTAGGCAACATTCTCGCCTTACACACAGTGTCCGTGGTTCGATCCCCGGCAAGGGTGGAAGCACTGAGCTTGTTTCCTTAATACTTGCTATCCCGTTCACTGTAACCACTTTCTGTACTACCACTAACACTGAACTGTGAGGGCACAAACCACCTGCTGAGGCAGCAACAACTAGCAATGATGTAATTTTTTTAAACAAACCGGCCGTATCCCACCAAGGCAGGGTGGCCCAAAAAGAAAAACGAAAGTTTCTCTTTTTAAATTTAGTAATATATACAGGAGAAGGGGTTACTAGCCCCTTGCTCCCGGCATTTTAGTCGCCTCTTACAACACACATGGCTTACGGGGGAAGAATTCTGTTCCACTTCCCCATGGAGATAAGAGGAAATAAACAAGAACAAGAACTAGAAAGAAAATAGCAGAAAACCCAGAGGGGTGTGTAGATATATGCTTGTACATGTATGTGTAGTGTGACCTAAGTGTAAGAAGAAGTAGCAAGACGTACCTGAAATCTTGCATGTTTGAGACAGACAAAAGACACCAGCAATCCTACCATCATGTAAAACAATTACAGGTTTTCGTTTTACACTCACTTGGCAGGACGGTAGTACCTCCCTGGGTGGTTGCTGTCTCCCAACCTACTACCTACAAATAATGTAATTGATACCAACAAATTAGTTTAAAAGCACACGTGAGTAAACACCAGGACATATTAGGAAACGGTTTGATCCTGGGACCTTCTGACACACACTACATACTCGTATATAGGCAGAAAGTGAGTTGTGGGTCACACACTGAACTGAAAAATGCAAGTAAAATTTTATTTGAGATGGGTCAGATAGATGAGGTCACGTGACTCCTGGAATCATGAGGTCACGTGACTCCTGGAATCACGTGACCTCATTGTCTGACTGACCTCGTCTCAAAATAAGCCTTACTTGCATTTTTCCGTTCACTAAGTGTCACACCTCACTTTTTCTACTTACATATACAATTTTCAACCTGTGTGTGTTAGAAGTGATCAAGGTCCCTGAACCGAAACGTTTATTATTGATTATATAAATAGCCAGAACAAGAAATTCAAAAGGAAACTGGACAAGTATCTTCACTAGGTGCCAGATCAACCAGGCTGTGATGGATATGTGGGACAGCGGGCCACAGCAGCAACAGCCTGGTTGACCAGGTTAGCACCAAACGAGCCTGGCCCATGGCCGGCCTCTGTGAGTAATAAGACTCGTAACTCATCAAGAGTATTTATCAAAGGTAAAAGGCGAACTAAGACTAATTTCATGTGCAAAGACAGATATTGCAATAAGTGAAACCTAGTTCAATCTGGGTAAGAGGGACATGCCTGTTGAATGCCACATACATGGGTATAAATTATTACACATTTATACTCATCAGGATAGGTAGTGGAGTTGATATCCATGTTAGGGAATATTTTAAACTGTTACATCAAAAACTATGTAAAGATGGAAGGGACAGAGACGGAATCTGTTTGGCTGCAGTTTATCGAAGGACATCACAAGCTAATTTTAGGTGCGATATACGGACTCCAAACCTCGATAGTGACAATGGGAAACCTCTTTGGGACGAAGTTGCTCGGGCATCTAGAAATGACCAGATTTGAGTCCTGGAGGTGGAAAGCACAGTGCCTGCACTCTGAAGAAGGAATGGGGATATTTGCAATTTTGAACTGTAGTGTCAGCGTGCCTCTGGTAAAACAGTGATGGAGAAAGTGATAGTGAAAATTTTTCTTCTTTTTTTTTTTGGGGGGGGGGGGGGGTCACCCTGCCTCAGAGTGTAAGCGCTATAGTTATAGCACTTATACGGTAAACACTATAGATCTTAACTCGAGTGATCTTAAAGTGAGTTCTGGTTAGCATAAATTTAAAGCCAAGGCAACAGAACATAAGTGTTCGCAGTAAAGCTATCAGAATTCTTAGGTTCATGTCAAGAAGTATAGAGAATAGAAGTCCTCAGGTTATACTTGAGCTTTACCGAGAGGCCTGGTCACAGACCGGGCCGCGGGGGGGGGGGTTGACCCCCGAAACCCTCTCCAGGTATATTCCAGGTATACATATTTAGTTAGACCTCATTTAGATTATGCTGCACAGTTCTTGTCTCCATATTACAGGGTGGATATAAATGCGCTCGACAGCATACAGAGAAGGATGATGATGATTCCATATATTAGAAACCTTGTCTACGAGAATAGGCTGAAGTCACTGAACTAACGCTCTTTAAAGGCGTAGAAGTATGGGAGATATGACTGAATTGTATAAATAAAAAAACAGGAATAAATAAAGGGGATATAAATAGCATATTGAAAATGTGTAACCAAGACAGGATTCGTACCAATGGATTCAATTCCGAGAAATTTAGAAATGATATTGGGAAGTACTGGTTTGGCAATAGAGTTGTAGATGAGCGGATTTAACTCCCGAGTAGCGTCATTGAGGCAGGAACTTTGGATAGGTTGAACGGGTACATGAGTAGGCTTGAGTTAGGATAGGTCAGTAGGCCTGCTGCAGTGTTGCTTCGTTTTTTATGTTGTTGTTATTTTAGCTTGAAGTGATAGTATTTATCTGTGTTGTGTGTTTTATTCATTGCTAGTTTTACCCTGGATGTTCTTATGGACATTCTAACTAATTCTTTTGTATTGCCGTGAACGCTGATAGATCATTCAGGTCAGTATTTGAGTGAAGAAACCTACTGTGTAGGCTAAATATTTCTGAATAAAGATGCCTGTTGCACATGTGTTATACTTACCAACTTGTATTATGTACCATTATCATATTAGAGTGAGTGCTCTTCACACCTCCCACCTACCTACCTGCTGCAGGCTTAGTTGTTCTTGATAACATCATCATTCCACTGCTAATACGGGCAGACTTTGTAAACTGTGATGTAAATAGTTTACAAAACCGACAAGTTGAAGAATTCTTCAATTTGTAAACTGTGTACGTGTGCCAATACACATCTTCATAAATTTCACTGCCTCTTCACCACTGTTGCAATTAAGCTTCAGTTCATGTTTGCTGCTGCTATAAGAAACTGTTGCAAGTGGTATAATATACCGGCAAGTTGATTAAGACATGTGCCACAGTTGGGTATCTTTATTGTTGAAACGGTTCGCCTACACAGTAGGCTTCTTCAGTCAAATACAGAGGCAACATGTACGATAGTAAAATAAAGATGATATAATCAGTCCATCAACCTCGGAGTAAAAGTATTTGAGGTGGTCAGTCCCACAGCCTGGAGAAGAGTTCAGCTTCATAGAACTGAACTTCTCCAGGCTGAGAGATTAATATACTTCATAGTTTGTTCTGCTTATCCACATTGTTTTATTAACAAAGAACTTCTAAATCCCCCTCGGGGTCATGCAGCCCTTTACGAATGAGAGGTTATCAGGTTTGATCCAAGAGGAGGGGTAGCTCCAGTTCCTTGGATAAAAGCCCCCACCTGCATTACACCACCTTGAAGTGTCACTCATATATCACAACTCTCTTAAGGCAGGTTCCTTGACGCTGCTGATATAAGGTATTACCAAGAACGAAACGCACAATACCGTGACTGGAACAACGCTGATACTACAAAAACTACCATCGTTACCACTACCATGCTTGCCACTACCACTACCATCCTTACCACTACCATCCTTACCACTACCATGCTTACCACTACCATCCTTACCACTACCATCCTTACCACTACCATGCTTACCACTACCATGCTTACCACTACCATGCTTACCACTACCATCCTTACCACTACCATCCTTACCACTACTACGTTTCCTTCCCTTCTCGTTCCCGTCCTTGTCCATCACGCCTATATATACTGGCTCCCTCATTCTTTTCTGTTAGTGTGACGACCGAAACGTCGTCGTAAGCTCCCCTCTCCTATGTGCGGGTTATTTGTGTAATGTGTTAGGCATTACACTTTCCCTCCCCTTCCTTGGATCGAACCATACTACTTGATCCCCCAGGTGTTGCATGACCCTCTACGGTGATATAAATGATTTAGAAAGCTAACAAGTTGAAGAATAGACACTTTGTTTCACACTGATTACCCCAAACTCCTCCTTTTCCACCATTCATCTCTGTACCGGACTGAGGAAGCCACTTGTTGGCGAAACAATTTCCAAATGTTGCAAAATTGCCTAATTTTTCGACCCTCTACGGGTTTTTAACATTCCACCCATGAACATAAACCCGTGTTTTTTTTTAGTGTCTTCCTGTTTATTAAGTTAGCCTTTATATACCTTTTATGAGTTTCGAGCAGCCTGGCCCTGGGGCAAGCTTATTTTTTGCTAGCTTGGTCAATCAGGCTGTTGCTGCTGGCGGTTCTCTGGCCCACATATCCATCACTGCCTGGTTGATCTGGCACTTGGCGGAGATAGTTAAGTTACTTCTTGAATACTTCAACACTCATCTCTCCCGGCCTGAATATTTCAGCATGTGTGTCCTTGCAACGAGTTGCAACTTATCCTCCATTCTCCATGCAGGGTTGCAACGCTTGGCTTTATCATGTACCGCTTGTGTGTGCGTACCCAGTCGTACCAGGCTTATGCGTGCACTTCTGAACGTTTCCTGGCAGCGACCACGTTGCCAGAAGTGTAGCAGCTGTTATTGTTAATTGCTTATTTGTGGTTAAATATATTTTTATATATATTTATGTGACCTAATAGAGATGCTTGTTCTGGGATCGTACCGCGGAGGCGCTGACTCGGGTAAACTTCAGGTAACCTAGTGTTGGACGGCAGGTATTGCCGTAATGGGGGTGTGGAACTCGATCTTTAAACAATTTTAAAAAAAAGTTGTTGTTAGACTAGAATAAACTATCAACTGTTGTGCTACTAGCTATCCGTGTGTAAAGTAAAAACATGGTATTGACATCTTTTGAAGTCATATTGGTACCTAATAGCACTGGTGATGGTGATGATTTCCAGTCTGGTGGAAGGGGTATAGGCACATATTGGGCAATCCTCTGGGGGTATGTAATTGTAAAATAGTTAAGTACCCCCGGTGTAGGACAACATTATATTATAGACTACGTTTGGTGAGAAATTTGCCCAGAGCGATACGTAGATAGTAAGCTGGTAGGTAGTCTGCAACCATCTAGGAAGCTTCAGTCCTCCTGTCAAATTTATTGTGAAATGCAAACCTCTTTAATTTTTATACTCTGAAAAGATTAGTTTTTTCTTTCTTTCTGCCTAATTAATACGTAAGGTGAGAAATAAATCTACAAACTTTTACCTGCGTTTAGTATACACATTAATTTCTTAAGTGCTTCTAAATACCCAGTTCTTACCATTTAATATTTAATCTGTAACCTAAGAGGTCGGTTCGAAATCTTGCTGAGGGGGGGGGGGGAAGATAATCCCCAGAACCATTAATATTTTCAAACCCAGGAGGCCTGGTCTGAAACCGGGCCGTGGGAAAGATAATCCCCCGAACCTCAGATAGACAGACAGCAGACACATCACGTGTCTTTCTGTCGCAACTGAATCTGATTTAAAATTAAGAAAATAGGGCGCATAGCGCTACCAATAAAGAGAGAGGACGCGTTAACCGTACTAACACCTAAGTGAATAAAACACGTGTATAACACTTGGGTATTTTATTGAATTTTTATCTTATTCGTCTACTTGGCGGTTTTCTGAACCATAAATGTAATAATATTAACATGTAACTTAGTATGATGAATCAAATTTTTAACACTGATATAAAAGTGAAATTATCAACACTACAGACATGTCTCGTATAAAGCCCCTTTATAAAGTGCGAGTTTTTTGTAAATACGACTGAAAAAGTACATCCAAAATTGAATAGGGTATGGAATACCCGGTCAAACTGTATATGAGCCTGGCCCATGGCCGGGTTCCGGGAGTAGAAAAACTCTTGGTACTCATCAGATGTGTATGATTTTAAATTTTGAATGAACATTTTCAATCACATACAAAAAAAAAAAAGTCATAGTATATAGAGCAGCTTAATAAGAGGTAAGTGCATCTCTAACAGGCACTTAAGTTCCCCAGTCTTCTAATAACATGATCATTTTTCCACTATAATCTACCTCGTCCACAATTACTATCGCATTTGTTTTGTCTGTTTCGTAAGGTGAAGTCCAGGATCTATAATTCATGGTATAACTTAAGTTATACCATTGTCCTCAAAGATTTGTTAAGTTATACCATGAATTAAGGAAAGATCCTGAACTTCACCTTACGAAACAGACAAAACAAATGTGATAGTAATTGTAGACGAGGTAGATTATAGTGGAAATACTGATCATGTTGTTAGAAGACTGGGGACTTGGGTGCCTCTTCAAGGGGCAAGTTGATACATTCCTTCAAAGTGTTCCTAATTATTTGGGATGGAACGCCTACGTTCATAAGGTGCCAGATCAACCAGGCTGTGATGGATGCTTGAGTCAGTGGGCCACCAACAGCAACAGCCTGGCTGATCAGGCTAGCACCAGACGAGCCTGGTCCATGCTCAGGCTCCGGGAGTAGAAAAAGCTCTCGGAACTCATCAAGGTATACTGGTGAAGGATTTTTGATCCAAGGAATTGGAGCTGCCTTTCCCCCTGGATCAAATCTGATTGTTTCTATTTCTCAGGCGCTTTATAGTGAATATAACAATAACTGATTGCCTGTAGCTAGCAGCAAGTATCAGCGAGTCACCAGTCAAGTAAACTGGTCTGAGACCGGGCCCCAGGAGCGATGATCCCGGAAATATCCAGAAGTACACAAAATGACGGCAGTTAATAGGCTTCCCTGAGTGCGCCTGTTACCTTTTAAGAATCTTAGTAATATTGTCAGTGAGAGAGCTTACTGCCACCCTGGCAACCACCAGGAATTCACCTTGTTGTGTTCTTCCCGTGGAGTAACCCACCTTCTCAGTAAATCACATCTAGTCTACGTGAGTTTATTATGCCTTCTAACTCCACCGTTACCGTCTATATCTCCCAATTACAAGGTTGATACAATCTTAAATGTTGTACGCTAAGCCTTTGTGGGGTCATCGGCGCAAGGAATAATGCAGGCTGGAACCTCCGTCCGCGAAGCGTAAGGCAGGCATGTTATATGCGTTATCTAACTGCGCTCATCTAGTGTTAGAAGAATTACAAAGATATATTTTACATTATGTCAAGAACAAACTTTATAAATTCATGAAGCAAGTCCCTGATAAACAGAGCTGATGGTACTCAAGTCGGACTACGTTTATTGGGAAGCACTAAATCCAGTCACAATACAGAGCATGGATATTAGGAGGTAATCAGGTTCCATTCTAAGAGGAGAGCAAGCCCAATTCTTTGGACCAAGAGCCCTTCACCAGCATTAAGAAACCGTCACTGGAGGAGGCAGACTGTACGCATCCAGCACCAACAGCCTAGCTGATCAGGTGGTTGACAGGGAGGTCAGGTTTAGAATTTACGAGGTGTTGAATTAGCACATACGATAAATGTAGCCATAATGCACAGCTTATCAATTATACTTATATATGATAAGATTATACAGATATATTGCTGCTGTGACTCATTTTTTTTTTAAGCTTCGAATAATTTCAGGAATTTTCGTTTTCACGTTTTCATATGACTTTTCCGCGATGCTTGTGTATGACTCCTATTTAGACTGCAACCAGACCGTGAAGAAAGATTTATTAGGGAAGCTGACAGAAGTTGACTGTACCAGTCACTGTAGAAGGAAGGAGGTTGTTTAAATATGGATTACATGAGGGTTTTGACAGGTTTAGTAAATGATGTGGTGATTGATAAGACAACAAAGACCTTGAGTGGCTGGCCTGCTGCGGCGTGTTGTACTGTATCTGTTGACTGTGTAGTATGGCTCTGCCTCCTCCCCCAGCTCACTTCTTTAGTAAGAGCTCTTCGTCTCATATTACTTTCCTGTTAATTCTTAGATAAGCAGCTAGTGAACTTATGATAACATTTATCTGTCATATTCGAGTCTGTCGAACAAATATTCTCGAAATTAACTTTATTCATTAACGTTGCTTGTTGCTGCGTACATAGTTTGTCAGTTCTTAAATGTATACACTGGATCTAAATTGTGTACTGCTTAAAATAGTGAAAGAAGACAGGTTACAAAATAAGCTTTTTACTGCTACAATATTGTTCCAGTAAAAGCTTGTTCTGCAACGTGTCTTTTCATACGTTTGCTGTTCCCTTCATGAGGAGCTTTGCAGCGCATGCAGCGTGATGCACATACACTTACAGTCTTCGCCAGTCATTAGTGCATGATGAATTGACGTACCTTTGTTTGCCTCTGTGGCAGCTATAATGTTCACTGAGGAAGATGGAGAAGAGGCAGAGATGGAGAAGGATGAAGCAGGTCTACCCCTTGAATGCTTACCTTGTTGTGATGAGGTAAGTTCTTAAGAGCAGTGAGCGAGGTAGCCTGGCTGTGAGACGAACGTGCTTCGCACTGAGCGGACGGAGGATCGAGCCTCTACCACTACCCACACGGCTTTAGCGCTCTTTAAATATAATGATAAAATGAAGTGATTACAATAAGATCAGGGGAAAGGCAAAAATTAAAGAATGAATTTCTTAAATTTGTGTATTTGTATTACATATGGTTGTAAAAACCATAGTCATGCTAAGCCACACTTGTGAATGGCGTCCATACTTGGGTTCGAATCCTGCTGGCTGTGATATTTGTGTATATACTTTCGCTTGTTTCTGCGAAGTGCAGTGATGTTGTATCGCTGGCGAGGCCAGAACATACAGGAGAATGAAATAGCGGGAGACCATGCTTGAGGCTCACTAGTGTGCCCAGCGTTAGGAAGAAACATGACTTGCAAGCAAGCTACCTAGCGTTTTGAGGCATCTGTAGCTGAGTGGTTAAGGCGTCACGTGGGGAGCTAAGCCACATTCGTGGGTTCGAATCCTTCTGCTGGCTGTGATCTTTCTGTGTATATACTTTTGCTTGTTTCTGCGTGGTGCATGTATATGTGGTGCCGAATAGGTAAAACTGGTCAGTTAGCAAGAAATCATTTAAAATTAAGCCCTTTCTAAAATTTTCTGTTATACGTTTAAAAATATATATTTTTGTCATTTATGTTAATGTAAAAAATAATTTTGTACCAAAAGAATCTTAGAAAACTTACCTAACCTTATTATAACAAGCTCAATTTAATTTAGCCTAATCCAACTAAATATATTTTAGACAAGTTTACAATGATTTAATAATAAACAAACACAATGAAATATATATTTTTCGTTAGGTTCAGAATGATTTTTGCGAAATATTGCGTACACAAATTTTCGCTTGCCTTATTCGGTATAACTAACACACACACACACACACACACACACACACACACACACACACACACACACACACACACACACACACACACACACACACACACAGGAGAGGGGTGGGAATGTTTCAGTTTGGAGAGACATCTTTACTGTGATACTAGCACGCTTCTAGCAAGAGTGATTGGTGAATGACTGTTTTCACTACCTCTGTTGGAGATTGTCAGTGTTAAGCAGCAAAAATTATATATTTTTTTATTTTGCAGGGGCAGCGTGGGAGTGGCAGCAGTAAACGAGGTGCTCCCTTTGCTCGTGGCAATAACAACAACAGCGAAAGCCATGATAACAAGTTACACATTGATCAGAAGGACGAAAACCAGTCCCAGCCTCAATTACAGCAGCGTCGAGGTCGGGCCATGAAGATCTCGGTTCGTGAGGAAGCCACCAAGAAGATTGCCTCACTCACCACTCCAACTACCAGGTGAGATATGACGATACTCTTAATTAACTCTTCATGGGTCACTCGCACCACCAAGTCAGGCATTAATAAGCCAGCAGCTACTGCTGTCATGGCCTGCCACATATATAACACAATGCAGATAGCACCATTTTACAATGGTAAAATTTCGTCCGTCGGGGACTACAGTTCAGGGGTTAGGTAAGATTCATCAGGAAACAGGACAAGTGTTCATACAGAGAACAAGACATTAGTATTTATAGGAGTTTGAAGGAGGTCCTGAGGTAAAAGAATGAACTCATGCAGTCGAATGTGAGTAGTCAGCCAAGTAGGTTAAGTGATCACAGTACTGTGTCATGTATCGGGAGAATAAGCCTCGCTAATATTTTGGTGACTGATTGATCCTGAGTGTTGATTATTGTTATCTACTGTGATGATCATTTTCTTTAATGATATGTGCGCTGTATGACCCTTGTAAGCTTAGAGCTTAGTTTTGATTGTAATTGTGGAAAATTTTTATAATTTTCCTATAATAAATGTATGTGGACAGGATAGTCATGGCCAGGGGCGTCGTAAAGGGGGGGACGCCCCGGGTGACCATTTAAGGGGTGACACCATAGAGCGTCTAAAGAAGGTAACACTAATGACCAAAACCATGCTGCAGCAACCTAAGAGAAAAATCCTTCGTTTCTATATAGCCTATTATAGGATTACAGAGTACAAATAGGCCTATATAGGGAAAATCGTTGATTTTGATGATGTGATAGATGATTTTGCAGGATTGAAGGCAAGGAAATGAAATATCAGATTCATTGAGATGTTACCAGTACTCAAGGTTAAATCGGAACTAGTGTTTTTCTTTATTTTTCAAGTTTTTTTTTTCATTGTTGAAGATGAATAAATGTAGGATCTGTTGGCTGTACTCAAAGTGGTATTTAAGTTTATGTTTCCTCAATATTACTACGATTATATATTTTATCATTAATAAAATTTGGTTTAAGGCCTTTAAACGTTCTCATTGCTAAACATGAGGTCACTGGTACTGCAGCAGTGATGTAACTGGAGTTTACTACTATACTATCTCCCCGCCCTTGGATTTCATAGGGGTGACACCAAAGATGCTACCCCGGGTGACACCCAAGTTTCCGCCCCGCGTGACACCAACCCTAGCGACGCCTCTGGTCATGGGAAGTGCAAGAGAAGCGAAGCAGGAAAGATCGAGGAAAGGACGAACGAGCTGGGTCGCGAATGTTTTTTTTTTTTATTAAATAGTAGTAGCTGATAGAAATATTATCAATAATAATAATAATAATTTGATGATAAGTCGTGCCTCTGGGAAGTTTAAAAGATAACTTGGTATTTCCTAGTAGAGTGCATGCATTCTTAGTGTCCTTGTTTCGTTATGCGTTAATGAGTGTTAACTCTGGCATTTAGGTCTCTTGAGGTTTCCCAACATAAATATTTAAGCAACCTCCACAGGGTATAATGTAGATGCCGACAGGGGTGTTCATTGTCTTCCTTTCCTTGACTAAGCCTTGTGGTTTTTGATAAATGTAGGTGAATCTAATGTTGACTTTAGCTAAGGTACACAAATAACTCGCACATAGGAGAAGGGAGCTTACAACGACGTTTCGGTCCGACTCGGACCATTTACAGTCAAGGTGTGACTGTAAATGGTCCAAGTTGGACCGAAACGTCGTCGTAAGCTCCCCTTTCCTATGTGCAGGTTATCTGTGTATTGTTTCAGTCACGGTATTGTACCTTTTTTGTTATTTAGCTAAGGTATTGGAAAAGCTGTTGCTAGTTTTGTTGGTGGGAAATAGTGTTTCTGCTGTGGAATAGTGTTTGAACTAAGAGTTAAACTATCTTCTCGGTTTTCTTCTTCCAGTGAATGATGCAATATTATGGGTAGTGAAGCTTTGTGAACGCTTAATGATTTGCGGTAGTCTTGGAAATAAAGTTTATACCATCTTTCGGAGTCGACATGTCTAGGAAGGTCGTCTGTAAGTTATTTTCTTCTTCAGTAGTGAACTTGGTAGACAGTTTCACCAAATTTATGTTGAGGAGTTTCTCTGTGTGTTGAGGCTTTAGAGGCAGTGAATAGAGTATCTTTAGCGTATCTTAGCCATGTCACATCTTGTGGGATGTGAATATTCAGTTCCTCTTTCTCCAGATGTTCCATGATTAGGCTGGCCATGACATCACTACGGGGTGAACATGGCCAAGCCGAAAGACTACTTACACATTGAGTCTTCAAATGAAAATAGTTGCATATGACACAGTTCAACGGCATCAAGAAATGTATTGCAGGCAAGGGTAAATTTAGTCTATCATTCATACACGCATGGAAAATACTGGAAGGCCTAGTCCCAGTTTTACACAATACCATAACATGCTGGAGTGAGTGACATGGGAGGAAGTGTAAAATGGACCCAGCAAAAAGGACAGCCACGGGCACAATACGAGAACAGTGTCAATGTTCATGGGCCTAGACTTTTTAGTCTGTTACCAGCAGATATCAGAAATAATGCTGGAACCATTGTAGAGGTCTAAAAGAAGAATTTGGAACTATGTCTCCACGGTGTGCCAGGTCAGTCAGGCTGTGATGGGTATGTGGACCTGTGGGCTGCTAACAGCCACAACCTGGTCGACCAGGCAATCAATAAGGAGGCCTGGTCCAGGGCTGGGCAACAGGAGGAAAGCAGTGAACAGGTCACAAATAAATACTAATAATAGTAATAATAATAACAATGGTTTATGTAGGCTGGAGTAGTTTAATATTGTATGTAGGTTAAGTGAGAATGAGTAAGACAAGTTTGAATGGGAAGTGCCTGATGAACTTGGAGCAGGAGTATCACATAACCCGTGGTACAGATGGATTTCAAAACCTGCTGTTCAATGGTTATATTTATTATGGTAGCAGCCTTTTATTGGCACGTTCATGAAAGGAATATAAAGTTCTCTTCACCTTCACAATAAAAGTGTGTCGCAATTTTTTTTTTTTAAGATTTTTTTGAGAAACTAATAAATATTGCGAAATCCAAGTTAGTTAACCAGATGTCAGACATCTTGCTGGAGGTTGCCAGCACTTCTGATATTTATTATTTTATTGTGCTTATAAGTTGAAAAAAAGTTATGAAGTCATAAATAGAAGCTTCTGTGATGAAGATGAGTACTCATTGTAAACATTAGTGGTATCACGTGAGCACAGTTGATGAATGAGCTTGGTAGTGTGTGGCAGCCTTATTGTAATGTAGTGGGATGGGGCTAGTTTGTGTACGTTTCTGGTGGTGTAGTGTCTTACTCTTACTGTATAGTGTGTGTTGCTCCTCTAGCAGCCTTCATTACTAGTGGTGACTTGTTCTATAGTGTGTACCAACTCTCCTGCAACCTATACTATCAGTGGTTGTCCTGTTCTACAGTGTGTGTGTGTGGTGTGTGTGTGTGTTTGTGTACTCACCTAGTTGAGGTTGCAGGGGTCGAGTCCAAGCTCCTGGCCCCGCCTCTTCACTGGTCGCTACTAGGTCACTCCCTGAACCGTGAGCTTTATAATACCTCTGCGTGTGTGTGTACTCACCTATTTGTGGTTGCAGGGGTCGAGTCCTAGCTCCTGGCCCCGCCTCTTCACCGGTTGCTACTAGGCCCTCTCTCTCCCCGCTCCATGAGCTTTATCAAACCTCGTCTTAAAACTGTGTATGGTTCCTGCCTCCACTACGTCATTTTCTAGGCTATTCCACTGCCTTACAACTCTATGACTGAAGAAATACTTCCTACTATCTCTCTGACTCATTTGTGTCTTCAACTTCTAATTGTGGCCTCTTGTTTCTGTGTCCCCTCCCTGGAACATCCTGTCTTTGTCCACCTTGTCTATGCCACGCAGTATTTTATATGTCGTTATCATGTCTCCCCTGACCCTCCTGTCCTCCAGTGTCGTCAGGCCGATTTCCCTTAATCTTTCTTCATAGGACATTCCCCTTAGCTCTGGAACTAACCTTGTCGCAAACCTTTGTACTTTCTCTAGTTTCTTGACGTGCTTTATCAAGTGCGGGTTCCAAACAGGTGCTGCATACTCCAGTATGGGCCTGACATACACGGTGTACAGTGTCTTGAATGATTCCTTACTAAGGTATCGGATGTTCTCAGGTTTGCCAGGCGCCCATATGCTGCAGCAGTTATCTGATTGATGTGTGCTTCCGGAGACATGCTCGGTGTTATACTCACCCCAAGATCTTTCTCCTTGAGTGAGGTTTGCAGTCTTTGGCCACCTAGCCTATACTCTGTCTGTGGTCTTCTGTGCCCTTCCCCTATCTTCATGACTTTGCATTTGGCAGGATTAAATTCGAGAAGCCATTTGCTGGACCAGGTGTCCAGTCTGTCCAGGTCTGTTTGAAGTCCTGCCTGGTCCTCATCAGATTTAATTCTCCTCATTAACTTCACATCATCTGCAAACAGGGACACTTCTGAGTCTAACCCTTCCGTCATGTCGTTCACATATACCAAAAATAGCACTAGTCCTAGGACCGACCCCTGTGGGACCCCGCTCGTCACAGGTGCCCACTGTGATACATCATTACGTACCATGACTCGTTGTTGCCTCCCTGTCAGGTATTCTCTGATCCATTGCAGTGCCCTTCCTGTTATATGCGCCTGATGCTCTAGCTTCTGCACTAATCTCTTGTGAGGAACTGTGTCAAAGGCCTTCTTGCAGTCCAAGAAGATGCAATCAACCCACCCCTCTCTCTCTTGTCTTACTTCTGTTATTTTATCATAAAACTCCAGAAGGTTTGTGACACAGTATTTGCCTTCCGTGAATCCGTGCTGGTTGGCATTTATACTCCTGTTCCGTTCCAGGTGCTCCACCACTCTCCTCCTGATAATCTTCTCCATAATTTTGCATACTATACACGTCAATGACACAGGTCTATAGTTTAGTGCCTCTTTTCTGTCTCCTTTTTTAAAAATGGGAACTACATTTGCCGTCTTCCATACCTCAGGTAGTTGCCCAGTTTCCAGGGATGTGTTGA